CTAGACGTTCTAATCGTGATGTCGCTATTGGCTTGAGGTCGTTGGTATACGACTTCGCCATAACGAAACACACTATCGAAGAAGACTCTAATCGACCAAGATGATATGCGCAACAAGCACGGACACACTTGTCGACGTCTTCGAAAACGCATAGCTCAAAAGAGCTTGATGTTATTAGCTTCGAGACGGCTGATCTACGGATTGACGAAAAGTGCCCTAATTGGCAAACGACAATAATATTTGCTGGGGAGTAAGCTCATGGTCTGTAATCTCATCGACAATTATTCTGCGATGCAGACCTCGAGCGCTCACTGATGGTGTAGATTCTGTGGCCGTCGTAGGACGGACTCCTAGACGGAATAGCACCGTCTCTGCGAGCGTGATCGTGTCTACACGACCCGTAAAAGTCGTGCTGACGTAGACCCCGTCGTCTGCGTTGTTCCTGCAGTTGACGATGCCTAAACAGAAGCTGAGAGTGATCGCCTGAGTGATGTCTACACGGTGGACGGTGACAAGAGCGACGAGACTGGCCTTGGCTCAATCATCTCCAACAAAGAGAGGACGATCTCGCGATGTTGATGCGAGTTACTACTGATATGGACGTAGTACATGCGCGTGTCCTACGGAAACGTGATTCACGAAGACGCAAGTCGAACGATGGTACACTAGGAATTGCGATCTTGAGCACTCGCCAAACGCGTTGGAAGTGCGTTATGTCATTCGAGAACTTTAGAAAGACGTTACAAGCTGGATCGCTGGATAATGCTACATCTGCTGAATGACGAACATGATGGAGCTGTGTTCGTCACATCGAGCGGTGATGTGTCTCTAGAAGAGGACCGAGAAGAAGGTATATGCGTTGGATGGTCGACAATCTCATGACGAGCTGCTTCTCTCGGCGTCTCCTGACAATATCCTGCGTCGTTGTCGTCCTACCAGATGTTACTTGGCCTCGTCCCGAAAGTTCCAAGCCGCAAGCGGCCTCCTTCGAGATGGTATGGAGGGCATGGATAAGACTCTCTATTGTAAATGTCGCATTCTCTGTCTTGAAGTCTACTATAAAATCTAACAAGGTGTATTATCTGCTACTAAATTGTCTAAACTACTAACTACGGGTAAGAAGGTATGGTGTTACTCATACGGCATATGGTACTGCGCGGATGTTCGAATATGTACCTGAAGCACTTCCTGACGATTAGCAAGAAGCTTCCGTTATGGCGAAGTCGAATACCAACGACCTCAAGCCAATAGCGACATCACGATTAGAACGTCTAG